ATTTATTCAAACACTTATTCTTTATTGCATAACACAGTTATTATATAACTATTTTTATATTACTATTATATAACACATTTTGTCTGTAATATTTAAATACACAGACTGACGACATTCAATAATACATAAATTTACAATATGTATACGCCTGCATTTAAAAAATACATACAAATGTATTTCGTTGTTAACCCCCACGTGACATTTTAAAATAGAAATGCAATGTTTACGACACTCCTTTCCCTAAAGAGTATGTGATAACGACGAAGACAAACACTACTAACATCAATGTTGCGCCATTCCTAAGAAAGCTGCAATCCAACAATGCCAGCAACCATAGTTCCTTCGAACAACAACAGTACGCTGCATCGAATACTATGCTGCATAAATATCGAGAGCGAAAGAGATCGAAAATAAGGCCAACAATAGTTGACACTCACGAGCAAAACATATTCATACATCTACGGCGTTAACCTAATTGTTAATATTCATAATAGATAAATGTTCTTTAAATATTTGAGAAAATAGAGATAGTGACGTTTCTCGAACAATACATTTCTACCCTTCGGGTAAGAGCTACTGAAAATCCTCCCTTAACTTGTGCAATTGCAAGATCAAACAGTCGCCAGTTTCGTAGTACCCGCTTTCTCGACGACGATGTTGCTTTTAAGTGCCCACGTGCGTTCAAGCACCGACTACACTACGGACTCTATTTCTCACGTGTGCGCTTCACTCGCTGAGTTTTAGCACTTTCACCGATGTGGGCACACCCACCATATAACTAACTCTACCAGCTTAGGGAGCATCTCTTTTCGCACTAGTATGTAGGCAAGCATATACCCGGTCAATTCCCCCAGCAATGATAGCCAACAACCCTCCTTATGCGTCCTAAAAAAAATACCAGATATCTCTCCCTCTCTCTCGTTTTTCGCTATAACAACATATTTCCCCCGCAATCTCCTTTTGATGATTATTCAAGCTTACACTATGGCGTAGCTGTCACTAACATGACATGAGCGAACGTGCCTAGAGAGTTTTAGAAATAAAAGTAAGACTCTCTCTCTCTCTCTCTCTCTCTCTCTCTCTCTCTCTCTCTCTCTCTACTTCATCTAAGAAATAAAAAATACATATAATAAATTACGTTTTATACTTTTTTTGTTTTAGTTTCTCTGTACAGTAGGACATATAAAAATTAACCTCAAGATGAATAAAAACATAACAACAATTCCAACGATATAATACAAAATATCCTAATAGCGCGTTCCTACGAACAATTCTTTTAACACCAAGCGTATTTCATTTTACAAACAAGATATATTTATATGCGAATCAATCCTTTGTCCACTTTCATCATTAATTAAGTGTACACTCATTGCAAAAGTCGCTCTTCTATACTATAGTGTATGAATATAAATATAATGGAACAAATTTCCCATTAAAACTAATAAGAATAACATAATTTCTAGATGCATTTCAACTCATTTAAAGTTGAAATAATTATGTCAATGAATTTCATTCATCGTAATTCAAGAAATACGATAAATGAAAAAATAACGAGAATTAAACAATGCGATACAAAATTGGGACAAAATTGTTAAAACCGAAGCATATTAAACTATCGTTAAAATAAAAATAAAAGTAAAATTTTATTTAATTTTAATGTAAATAGTTCATCAAAAATTTAGATATATATTCAATGTTAATAATGATACTAATAATAACACATGATAAAAATATTTCCATAATGAGTAATCGCTAATTACATAAATTTTTGAAAAACAAACAAAATTTAGAATCTACAACAAATATGACCTTGCTCTATTCAAAATTTTATAACGCTACGTATAAATACATTTCAATTAATTCTATTGTACTAATTAATTTATGCTAAGTATTAATATATTAACTATTAATACAAATCTTGAAATTAGACAGATTTCATAAAATACTGCTATTTTTACTTTATTAGTTGTTCAAATTAACTCTGAATTCTCTTTTAATAAAAATTACTAATATTACTTTTTGATTTCTATTTATTCATATCCAAAGATATACAATGAAATAATATTTAATAATACATTTACCCTTTTCCTTGTAAATATATAGGCAAGCATTGTTATCTTTCGATTAGTAATACCAGCAATCATTTCATTAATGTAGCACATGAATTCATTGATATTTGAATAGTAAACTTCATCTTTCTTTACGATTATTTATAAGCTCACAAACCGCTTTATCAAAGAAGGAGTGAATAGCAGTACTATGATTTAAATAAATGGATAATAATTTTATTCTGAGTGTCTTTTGAATATTTTCTTCGTTTATGCTCGCAATTCTTCAAAGCATTTCAACTGTTCCAACTTTCGGAGTGAGATAAAGATAATATATTGCACCATTCTCTTCTGACGTATTAAAAGATCAAGTTCTTATTGTACTAATTTTTTACACTTATAGCAACACCATAGGATCTCTCTCTCTCACTATATATATATATATATATATATTGGATATATATATATATATATATATATATATATACATGTATACATATATATCCAATTCGTTTCTTACTAAAATTTGCTCTTCAACCATGACATAGTATCAAAAAAGCATACGCCAACTTGAATCTCATAACATTCTGAATAAAAAATTTTAATTTATTCCAATTATTCTCATATTCACTATCTAGTTGTCTCTTTTGTACAATTTCATTATATATATTTTATCAAGTAAATCTGATCGCTATAATAATATTATAAAACTACAACTCATTTATCTCTATGAATAATATTATTGAGACAAATAAAATATATTATATATTATTGATATATATATAACTTTGATTTAAAATTTATCATTTATTAAAATTATTGTGCGTCTCTTTATTAGAATCATATTATTAATTAATTTTTAATAGCAAAACAATGCTAATAATCACATCATCGATCCTTAAAAGTTAAATGTCTTTCGATACCTGTTTATTATTTTCAAAAAAAAAAAATTTAATTTACAAGATATGAAACCAATGAATATATAATATAATATAATAAGCAATATAACAAAATTAATCTGAATGAATAATATTATTTATACAATAAATAATCCATAGAAAAACGTATCATAATAAAAGCAGCTTATCGTGTTAACCAATTACACGTACATTAATAAGAAAAATATAAGAGAAATACAAGAAAAAAAAAAAAACATTTTACAAGTAATTCAATAAAAATATTTAAAATTTGAAACGAAATTTTAATAATCTTGTCAATATTGAGGTATACGAGATAACATAAGATTTCTTTTATTCGTTCAATTACATAATATTCATAGTACAAAATTAATTTTTCCTTTATATTTCAAAAAACGTAATTTAACATGGAAATTAAAAATTAAATTCTTATAAATGAACGCTATCATTTAGTTTATATTATAATGATATGATAAATATATTACCGTAAGTAACTCATTATATTTGCGTTCGACTGCCCATGTTAAATCGTTTTCTTAATATCTTTTAAGGAATAATTTGCAACAAAACAAAAAAAAAAAATTCCAATTAAAATATAAATAGTTTTAATAGCCCTATTGATTTCACTTATCAAAAGCGATAATGTTGCCTCAATTTCTAGAAAAATTCATCAAACTTTACTGTTTAAGCACTCACGTCAACTACAATATCATACTGCCATTGCCTATAAAGCAATTATTGCGCTATATTAATCTACTGTCATTAACATATTCTTTTTCGTTCGGTACATTTTTGTTTGTGCAACAAATACTTTTTATTTAATTCTTAACAAATAATTATCATATTTTCAGCTTTGTGTCTTACCTTCCCTAAGTTACATAAATTTAAATCTATTATATCAATGCGTTCTTTCCTCGCAATTATTTACTGTTTAGTACTGCTGACATTTCACAAATAACCTTTAATATTCAATAAACTTTTTAAGTCTCTATAAAAATCGATAAAATAAACTTTGAAAAAAATGGATGCTTTATTATACTTAACTTTACTAAAGCTTTAGATATTATTTATTAAAATTTTCGCTAAAGTTTATTTAGTAAATTTATGCAATGTCAATTGCTGATAAAGAAATAAATAACTTTTAACTTATGACTAAAAACATCACTTCGAGCATATAAAATTAAAAAGTTCTAATAATTTAGTTAATAAATATGAAATTTGTTATTCAAAAATATCAACTTGATATGTCAATCTTAAAAATCTTGTTAAAATTTGTGAAAGCAAAATAAACGATTTTCATAAAACTTGCAACTTATACTTACTTTTTTATCAAGAAATTGTCAGTGAATATCAGTTGGAAAATGGTTTGTCTCGTGTGACATCATGTAATGCCTAATTCAAATTTCTCGGAGAAGGTAATTTGAAAGAATAAACGATAAGAAATAGACGATATTATCTACGTTTAAGTAAAATATTTTGATAATTTGAAAAGACTCCTTATAATTAAGATTGAAGATAATTTTCATTTTACGAAAAATGTATACGAATCAATTACTAATATTACTAATGACATACAAATTACGCGTGAAAAATAAAATTACACGTTATGATCGATTCCACGTAGATCAGATAAATTAATACAAAAATTCAAAAAAATAATACACATTAAAATATACCTTGAATTGTATCTAAGATATTTTAAATCACAAATTTCTACAAATGTGTGCACAGTTTAGTATCATATGCAATTACCATTAAGGTGAATATAAAATTAAACTATAATTTTTAATACGCATTAATAAAAAAAAAAAAAAAAAATGCGATTTTTGCAATAGTATGATTATTAAGAATTTTAAAAGGATTATAGGAAAATAATTCACTTTACTAAAGCATCTTGTACTATTAATATTATAATAAATAATAAGGTACTTATTGTAGATATATCTATATACATATTCATTTATTTATTTATTTATAATTATATGTTACAAACGACTTTTATGTAATAAAATTTATATTTATAAATGTTTCTCGACTAAAATATATTACCATAAAGTAAATATCGGATTTTTCGTTAATTTTGGCGTTTTCTTTTCAATTTCAGGATAGAAAGTTTTACCCCACTTCAATTTACGATTAGTCCTCAGACATCTGGGTATATACTTAGGAGTATGGTCATCAAGTTTTCGATTGTACACATTAATTCCCTTATCATACGGAGATTTTCTGTACCAAGGCAAAAAATGATTAAATTTCCTAACATATATCCATTGATAATGATATTGTTCTGGAGGTAATCTGCAAAAACAAAATTTATTTAGTGAATTATAAATTTGTAACAGAATAGAAATTCATAAAAATAGATAATCAAAGTATATGTGTGCGTAAAGCAATAATAATATTTCATGTTATTAAAATTAAAATTATATATTATATAAAAATTACATAATTTCAATAAATGTAGACTTGGAAACGTTTTGCAATGCCACTTTGTAATTAAAATAGTAGAGTTAATAAGTTAATAATGCTTACTTATGTCGAGGTCGATTTGATAATAAATGTTTATATTGTTCTTCAAGCCATATTCTACGTTCAGAATCTTCGATATTAGCAATTAATTTTTCCTTTTCTAAATATGGTTTCATATTCACGCCTTCTTTTATTTGAGGTACATTTGCGTAAAATTTAATTAAATTCCTTAAAACATCCTCGTTAAAACCTTTAACCTCCCCATTCTCTATGCGATCAAATAATTTCATCGAATCAGTTACCCAACATATATTTTTTCTTGGATTTGTCTGAATGCAATCTTGATGCATTGTTGTTGTATTAAGTTGATAAACACAGAAATTCCATAATTGACCATTGGTAAGAATCATTTGATTTACCAAAGGGTAGGTAGGATCTTGAAAGGTTGAAAATCCTAAAAGATCAAGTATTATTAACGTTAGAATCATTTTTCTTTCAAGTATTTGTATTTTTAAAAAAAAAAAAAAAAAAACTTTTATATTCAAAATTCATTGCCACTTCATTGTGATTGGAATACAATTTAAGTTTATGAACGACTCTTACTGGTTAAATTTATAAACATATTTCTAATATTGAATAAAATTTTTTAAGATGTTTTATACCCTGATAACAGGCTTGTGTATATAACCAACTATAGGAACCAAATATGGCTTGAGCAATTATGGCATCGACATTATCATTGAACTGTTCTGGCCTATTTTTAAGATGTCCAATACTATGATATGATAAGAATCCAAATTCACTGTAATCTCCAGGCCAGAAGCCTGGTATAATCGTTGCTCTTTCACGACTTTGAAAATATCCCATTTTTCTTAAATCAAATTTGTTAATAGGAATATCTAACTTTTCATCTTCAGAATCCTTCAAGGATATTATTTCTTTCAATGGTAAATTATGCCTTAAATGTAATATGGGTTTGCCAATATATTTCATATATTGATTAAGACGTTCAGGATACCGACGATGAATACGAGGATTACAAAATTGATTGAATTTTTTATATTTTTCCGGTTGCTCCAGACCACCAAAGGCCCAAAAAGCTTCGATACGAGGTTCGATATCTATTTGTGTGTCTATCAAATGCACGTTGGTTGGACATAAATTAGAAATTAATATGCTATTAATTTGTTGACTTACGTTCTTAGCTAATACATTATCCATAAAACACTTATCATTTAATTGTTCCGAATTATATTCATGGTCTCGGCTATAAATATATAAAAAGAAAAGAGAAAGAAAAAAAAAAAAACAAATCAATAAAAATTAAAGAATAAAAAATTATTTCATAAAATTGTAATAAATACACTTACTTTCTATAATAAAACTCAAAAACTAAAGCATCTTTGACCTGATTTTTGATCTTTTCAACTAAGGAATTCAATTCTTCAGCGCTCAATACAGAATCGTAATATTTGGGTAAATTGACTGTATTCGCTAAATGAGTCCTTGTGATATATTGTGCTTGCGGTAATGGATCATACGGTAAAACACCTTCTTCAATTTTATTTATTTTCCATCCATAATACTTTGGCATATTTAATTCAAAAATCTTTTCCTCTACTATACCTAATTGCCTAATTTTATCAAACCATCTTTGACGCTTACGCTGCTCTTTACCAATTTCGCTATTATCAATAATTGGTGGAAATTTGACATCGTCTTCTTCTATTTTTTCTACTTTTGGTTTAATATAAGATTCAAATAATTTCTTATCGGATTCATCGATTTCAACCTCAGCAGGCGCACTTAAATATCTTTGCGTCTGGCTAATTAAAGAATTAAAGCGCGACAACAGTCGTGAATTCACTTTATAGCTATTCATCTTATAAACGACAAACTAATTGACCCTTATGAATTTCTTTACATATTTTCTACAAACCACATTACGTTTTTTTTTAAATATATATTTTTAAGTACCAGCGTTAAAAGCACACGAAGTAAAATTAAGGTTATGATGCTGGCAAACATGGACGATGAACATCACATCGAACACGTTAATACATACAAATTGGTAATAAATATAAGCCGCTCAAGCGCACGATTTAAACACTCGAAGAAGCAAAAAAACATAAGATATCTAGAAGAGTTGTATTTAAAAGCATTCGCAATTAATATAAAAATTACCTCGAAGAAAAAATAATTTATCTTTTAGTAGATGATGATAGATGAAATGATGGGCATTAGACATTAATCATGAATTTAAAATTATATAGTTTTATAATTAACGAATTCATTTACTTCAAAATAGTAAATGGCTATCAAGACAATGTTTTCATTATACGTATAGAAATTACTTACAATTATACAATTGTCAAATACAATTGTAAGTTAGATTATTACACGCTACTAGGCATGATCAATTTAAAAAAAATTAAATTTTCAAATGACCCTTAAAATTGTATAACTTTAGATTTATTATCTATCGAAGACTAATTATCGTCACCTCGGACGGACGAAGTAAAGCTGATAAATGAAAATGAAAATGAAATTAATAATGCATTTAATGCTGCATTAATCGCATCTGGGAATCGCTATTTTATTAATACATAATATTATACGTATATATATATATATATATATTTTAAGACGATTGAGTTTTTAATACTGAGAATATAAAATGGGCTGACAAAAGAAAAAAAAAATATTTCTTTTTATGCAAATGTTTAAAATTACCTTTTAATTTTTAATTACCCCTACACAAGTTTCGTAAAAACGCTATCTACTATCGAGGGCAGTGTGCACGCGTTTGTCGATCCACTCGGGTGATGTTTGCATTCCGCTGTATTGGCTCTGGTTTGCCAATTAATGGCAAAAAGGCGGAGAGGCGAAGGGAGTAATAAAATAATAGATGTGATATAAACATTGCATCCCTCTCGTTTCTATTCGTTCGTATTAGCGCTTAAGCGCTAGTAGATCGTGCTTGTAAGTAAAAATTGAGCTCTGACACGGTCGATGACGACTTTAATAAGTGAGCCTGTACGATTTGGCCTTTCGGCTTACGGCGAATACCAAATGCCGGGTGTATTAATTATAAATATTTGTTTGGAATGGAATCGATGTCATGGAACGAAAAATTTCATAAATTTAAAATAATGTAATAAGGTTAATTTTATAATGCATCACATGACCCGAAGAGGACCGAACTTAACCGATCCAATGCCTTAACTGAAATACCAGTTTAATAATAATAATCGATGTGTTGACTGTAGGCGTGGTTCTACTGGTGATTTTTCTTACTTTTTAATTTTAATTTATTTAAAATGGAGTACAAAAAAATTGTTTGGACGCAACTAACTGTTATCATACTGCTCACGTGTTTCATTGAAAAAGGTATGTATATTATATTGCTTAAGGATCTAATTTGTAAAGTAATATTTGTGAAAACAATAACTTTCCTATTCGTCAACGTTTTTCATAAATTCATTAATATTTCGTTTAACTTACCTCGATAGCTTGTCGTTTAATATGACATTTTCATAAAATAATTTCATTACTTTAAGTTAATATTCAGACGACTTAACCTTACATTTTAGTCAATACTATTTAAATTACAATGATAATTTATTGCAGGAACTTCTATAAAATGTTGGGTATGTCGTTCCGATTCTGATCCAAAATGCGCCGATCCATTTGATAATTCGACAGTTCCAATTACTGATTGTAGCCAAGAAAAAGAATTAGAACACTTGCCTGGAGTTAGGCCAACAATGTGTAGAAAAATTCGTCAAAAAGGTATATTAAAAAATTATTATAAACCAATAATTTAATGATAAATAATTAAAGAATGTCGCATCTCAAATATTTAATTTCTCTAATGAACCTTTATCCAAATTATTATTATAACATCGCTAATTGACATAATATAAACTTAAAAATTAATTGAATACCATAGAACATTTTTAACGTTGACAAATATAATTTATAATCTTGCATAATACGGCTAACTATTTTACAAATATTTAAAAAAAAAAAAAAAAAAAAAAAAAAAAAAAAAAAAAAAAAAGCATATAGTAGAACATGCTATTTTATAATTTATATATTATTTTATGTTCCTTATTCAGTTGCATTATTTATTGCTTTTATATATTATATTTTATTTATATAGTAAGAGGGGAATGGCGATACTTTCGTAGTTGTGCATTTATGGGTGAACCTGGTATCGAAGGAGATGAAAGATTTTGTCTAATGAGGACAGGTACATACAATATATTTATGGAATATTGCACGTGTAACAGTAAAGATGGATGCAACTCATCTTCAGGACTCCATTGCAATTTATTCCTTCAATATGGTGGAATAGTTGCGATCATTGCCATGACTTGGTTCATAAGAACCTGAAAATTTAAATAAAAGTAACTGCTATCGTGTATATGAAAGCCAAGTATACCAAGTATACCAATAATGTAATAATTAATTACAATTATCCTTCCAAGATTTTTTAGTCACTGCAATCTTATATTCTTGTGACTAAAAATTTATTTTTAGAAAAAATTTTTTCATTAAATATTGTGCCTCATTAGAGTAATAATTACATAGATAATGTTACTGTTATAACTTGGTAAAGCCTTTAATACAGTATAAATTTATTTACGGATCTTATTGGTCAAAAAAAGAAAAAAAAATAGATTAAGTACAACAGGAATTAAATTAAGTAAAAGATGTGTTTATTTCATTTATTTAATTTTCTTGACTCTAAAAAGAAAAACATGGATTTATGCCAAATAATTTTAATTATGTTCTTAAATATTACATAAATATTTCCCAATTTTATGAAACTCTTACTTATCGTAAGTTATTGAATTAATGCAATATTACATTAATGAAGCTACATATAATTATACACATGTACACTAAGAAGACTGCCAATTCCGTCCAGAGTAACTTAGTTCATGACTAGAATAAGTATTACTGTAAACGACTAATATTTTTTTACATAAAGTTGAAGTAATAAGGCTTTTTTGCCAAATAAAACTTTTTTGAATTGTGTACATAACAAATTAGATTAAAAATTTTAACAAATGGAACATACGAATTTTTAATATCTATGCAAGACTAATTCTTATAAATGTACAATAAATAAATAAATATATAATTAATACAATTAAATTTATAGCATTATTTTCCATTGAACAGAGTTAAGTTTACATATATATGTATGTTTGCGCGCGACGTGTGTGCTGGCGTGCGTGTATGCATATACATATATATGTATACGCATATATTATATGCGTATGCATATGTATGTGAATGGATATCGCATACACTAAATATATTCATAGAAAAGAATATAATGTATTAATTGCAATTAAATATACATACGAGGATATTGTTAAAATTTATTATGTCACTGAATTTTAAATACAATAAAAAACGAAATTTTACCTTAATAAGATTTATTTTTTTAATATAGGTACAATGTATCGTTTGGAGAGAAAAAAATGTGAAAGTAGAAAAATAAAATATGCAAATTCTTTAAAACTATATAATGGCATTAGTGACAGTAATGAGTAATTACCATACAAAACAATATCATTTTTAAAACACTTAAAATCTTATAATTTGATTGCTTATGTCTTACAGTTATAAATTTTACATTTGTACATCAACGAATTTCATAAACACTTAAACAAAAAACTTAAGAAATACCTATCTGGCGTTTTCAATTTAATAATATACAATTTACAACATGTAAATTTACATTTCATATAAAATAATGGACGGTTATGCATTTATCGTAATAATTATAAGTAAGGTATAAAATATGCTAATTCACTTATATCAGCATAACGTCAATTAGTGTAAGAAATTATTTTTCAATGAAACGAGATCATTGAGGACAAGATTCTAAAAGATTCATTTAAAATAAACGGTAAACATAATGAAGCGCTCCAGATCTTTTTATTCGAAAGACTGCCATTTCACGATTTGCTGTCCTGGTTTAGCTAAAGCTTGCTTCCATTGATCACTATATGCACCACCAACTTCTGATCCAATTACAAAATGCCCGACAGTAATTTTCTTACCTTAAAAATTAATAGCAATTAAAAATTCATTATTATGGGCAATATATGTTTTATTCGTAAAAATAATCTTTTATTAACGGTTAATTACAAAAATATAATATTTTGTTCGACGTGCGTATGTGATTATCAAATTACTTCATCATTTCATACATATATGCAAAAATCTTTTAATAAGTAATATTTAAAATAACATAATGCAATGCTTTTATTAAATAGATGAATAATGCAAATAATGCAGTTGACTTTTCAATACTTCTTATTATATCCTCTAATGTACAAATCTCGAGTCTCATAGATTACGTATTACATGCTTCTATTACATTATTATTTGCAATTATCTATTAGACACCATTGCGCAATTTTTTTTTTTTTTTTTTATTACATTAAGTACAGATAAGGGTAAAAAAGAAATCCAAACATAATTAAAATAGATTGAATTTTGCAAACATAAAGAGGACGAAGATTAAAATCTATATATGATCAAATCTTATAATTAATGGCAATTTAAAGCTTAAGAGAAGAAAATAATGAATAGTGAATTAAGCTTTAAAAGTTTCCGTACTATCAAGTTACAATTTTCTCTATACAAGTAATTTGACCTTATTGAGTAAACATTGATATAGAAAAGGTGAAATAATTGAACTCGGGCCATCCCCCCTGCCCCTGCCCCTGCCCCTGCCCCTGCCCCTGCCCCTGCCCCTGCCCCTGCCCCTGCCCCTTCACTAATCTGCTATTAACATAAGGATGCGAAGCTCTAAAATATTTATAAGAACCGTAATGAAAGACTCGCTGGCGAATGTCTACCTACCGATCTTGTTCTTCGAGACGAATTTGATAACGAAGCTAACGTCGTTGAAGGCACCCTCGTAGTGATTCTCCGCAATGACCTGCGCTTGCTCGGCGTCGAATTTCATGGTGACGCAGGGCGCGAAGCGATCGCTCTTCCAAAAGTGCGTCACACGGGCCCCATCTACCACCGACATCTTTATGTACATTTGGCCCTTGAGGCCCTCGTGCTCGTGCATCGACTGCAGGGAGCAACGCAGTCGCAGCAACGTCAGCACCAGTCTACCGTTGCTCACGTCCTTCTTATCGCTCCTCTCCTGGCACAGTGATACCTCCACCTGGCCTTTCTTGTTCTCCCTCTGCAAGCAGCCAAGGGGATTAAATTGTTAAGGCGGGCCTTATCGAAGCATACATACCGAGCTACAAAATCCTACAACCAACTATCGATCCTTCGCCATTTACAGACATTGTCTCCAAAATGATATTCGTTGACACTTCGCATCATAATATATATGTTTTTATAATAAAATACACGTGTGTTAGACACCCACAGGCGATAAAAATAACTTTAAAAGCTTTTCCCTTTAAGTCGCAGTCTCGATAATTATAAGACACCGTAGGCAGTCTACTCTTTTTTTATTACTCCTTTCCCATTATTTACCTCAAACCGAGTGCCGTGCATTTTGTCGAGCACCTTATCTCCTCTAAAGAATAAATTATTACTAAAATTAAATAAGTTACCGAGGCAGAATTTCCTCGACGTTTCCAATAAAATTAATTCAAAAAAATGTTTGTGTATCTTTTATTTTATACCAATGCAAAGTTTATTGCGACGCTAAGAAGGCATTAATTATTTAAGCGCGTTTAAGCTTTCAAGCAAGAAAATAAGCATGCGAACTTTGAATTTCGAATAAATAGTACAAATGCTTTTCGTCCGCATTAATCAACATTAACACGTCATCTTTATTAATTGGCTCCATTAGATTTTAAGCCTTCGTTATTTGGAAGTTACGTCACCACGCCTGAATTGTCAGCGAAGCTTTCTTAAGACGTGTCTGAAGCAGATATTTTAAAATAAATTCACACTTTCGTACAAATTGAGTGTAAAGCAGTAAAGTCTTATATATCTGCAAATGTTGTTAATTCAATACAGAATAAAATCTAAAAATTATTTATCTAATAAAAACTTAAATTAATATGAAAATAATGAATTATCCAAATTTACTTTTATACCAGCTAAATATTAAATTATAATCGTAAAATGTTAGTATGTTTTTTTATTAATATCAATATACGATTTCACAAGTTATGAAAAAAATGTTCTAAGACAACGAAAAATATTTAATTATCAATAGAATTTGAAATTCATATAATAATAATTAAGTGAAAAAGGCCTCGATTCTTAAACTAATTTTCTATGCGAAGCATTAAATCATGAACATTGAGGGAGAAGTGCAAGAGCGATTGAACATATAATACTAACGCGTTCTTCGGCCCCGGAAATGCCGCTGGAAATGGGCTTAAGAGTCCTCCACATGTCGCCAGTCGAGACATCCTGCGGATGTTTGGGCTTAATCGGCTTAGTCGTGAAATTCCGTTGATCGAGGGGAATCGTTGTTGCCCCAATTGTTCGCCGTTTTTCGAAAGCCTTCCTTTCCGAGCCCACGGACTCGCTAATCTTGTCCGACCCCTTGCCAAAAAATTGGCCAAACAGCCTACCACTTTTGGACTGCTCTGGCGCCATCGTGGCGTTTCCGGGATTCCGGCTCTCCTTCTTCTTCGTCTCCTTCTTGTCCTTCCCTGCGTTTCATTTCATTATCAAGCCTTTATTCTGGAATTTCACTGTTACGTGATTGTAAGTGCCCTCTTTTTATTTCTTTTTTTTTTTAATTTTTAACAAGATGTCTATTATATAAAAAATAAAAAAAATAAAAAAAACAATTTGCCCAATTGTGCTTTTTATTTAGCATTATTATTGACGGTCCCACAAGTATATTATATCATGCGTTTATATTTTAATTTATAACAAATGCAAATATTCATACAAATTGAAAAATATATTAGTGCCATATCCTAAATAACTTAAATGTATCAAATCATAAAATATGGTTTAGTATTCCAATTGATAATAAAATCATACGAAAAATGCATATTTTTAAATTGAGTGCAAAAATATAGATCAAATAAAAACTGCAAATTCTTTCAAACAACTATATTGATTCAAACAATGACGTGCACTATCCTCAAGGATGAAATACCGAAAAATTCGTTCTATATAAAAGGACATATTTTTCTTATTAATACCACAAGAATTTTACGTGAGACCATAAACGAAATTGCGAAATAACCAAAAATTATATCCCAATGTTTTAATCAACAACTAAGAAAGAAAGCGTGTTTATTTACAGAGGTTAATTGGTATTAAGCATTAATAAAATTATACTCGTGTAAATAATTTCTTATAACTAAATGGCAATGAAATAAGTTTTAAAAAATCACAATTGCCATAATATTAAAAACAAAATAATAATTTAAATAATATAAATAAAGCTTAATACTGCATCGAACATAAGTTTTCAAAAACTGATTAAATCATATTATAATATTCACATTATATATATATATATATATATATATATATATATATATATATATATATATATATATAATAAGGTTAAGATTTGATTTAATAAAAAAGATATATTGTATCAGCAATTAAAATTAAATTTCAAATTGTTATCTTGGTTAAATATTTAATAATTTATCGATTTATGCCTATACTCGTTATTGTATATTATTGTTACTATTTATTCTATTATTATAATTAATGATTAATACTGTATGTCTTTTTCATTACAGAAATTATGCTGAGAATATTAAATATATATAATTAATATATATTGAGAATATTAAATGAAAAATAAAAAATAATATGCAATAATTTATATTTTGTTAACGTAACTTATTTGTTAACGTACAACTAAAGATACGTACACTTCTATAAATCGGCATGATAAATTAGAGATTTGAAAGGTTCCTAAAGTAAAATTTATCAGTTAAATTATTTCAAGCCATCTTCACCTTTATTATCCTTTTCATTTTCTTTTTTCTCAGTAGCTATCAATGGTTTGTCTTCTAATATGGCATATAGTGTTGCAACCATAAATTTGGATGCCCCGATTTCTTCCTCCACGATTTTCGATTTACCAAATTTCGTCTTTATCTCTTTTCGTAAGGAAAACACGAATTCCTCGTTCCACTGAGGCCATGATTCATTGCGCGTCGTGGTTTCGAATTTTTCTTTACCAGGAATAAGTTTTACCTTAACAAAAATACAAGAATTAACAATCATAATTTATTCATAAATTTATATAAATTTATTCATTATTATATGAGTATCAGTTAATTTCAGAAACAGTTATTGAAATGCTATTTTTATTAAATCATTGTTCGGTTAGCTCATCTATGCGAAATAAGTTATAATAATGAATTTTTTAAAAAATCAATGTATTGTTATTTAGTAAGTTATTTGACATAATATATTTAATCTATTTCAATTATAAAAATAAAATAATGATATTTATTGAAAAGATTGTGGTTATGTATTGTACTACAACTGAAAATGTAAAACTTAATGATCACAAGACTGAAAATAATATAAATATTTTATATGACAAAAGTGTCAGTCAAAGTAAAATCAAATAAAAATAAACATTAAATTATATAAAGTAATAGTAAAATTGTTTATTTATTTTTTTTTTTTTTTTTTTTTTTTTTTTTTCCCTTTTAATAAAATTAATAAATAATATTTTATTTTATTTGAATTTCAATATAAAGTTACTTCCCTTAAACGAGTAACTTTTCATTACTTCTCTTATGAGAATAAAAATAAATTATTTTTTACTCTTTTATAAGATTAAAAATGAATGTAAAATGATAAAACAGTAATGAGATAAGTGAAGAAAATTACTTATACATCAATTAATTATTTTCAATATAATTTTACTTTTTAATCGAATCTTTTATAATCAAAATTGATTTATAATTATAATGTTATCGAAGTAATAAGTCATATATTAAAGTAGATGTAACAGCAATAATATCGAATTTACAAATGAATTATAAAAATAAGATAAATATTACTATTTACATCATAAAATGAAAGCATTCGTTCTCTTGTCAAGGATTCTTAGTCATTTAGTAAATTAATTAATTCAAAAATTAAAAATGTAAATTTTTAGTACTTTGATTAAATAGTGATTATCTGACATACAGTATTCATTCATTTGTGAAGAAGCAAAATTAAATTCTGTATACTTTCTCTTCTGCTATTCGCAATTTTACAACTGATAAAATTAAGACAAATATTAATATTATATGAGAAATAAATATTTATCATTATAATAATTATGTAAATTCAAATTTACATACTAATTTAATTTAATTTGACTAAGCACAAATACTTGTATAATGCATTAAATTACTTTCAAAGAAATTTCAATATTTTATCTTTAAGCGCTTGCTTGATGTCTTGACATTTATTACGAAGGGAAGCGTAGAATTTTTCTATGACATATTTCACTTTGAATTAATCTTTAATAATTCGTGTTATATTTTAAATATAGCGAGGATCAATTCGTCGCACATTTATTAATCTGCAAATTAATCTCTAATTTCAAAGAGTCAAAGAAGTGAATTGAAAATCAATGTACCGTGCCTAGGCTTCCCCTTCCGCTTAACAGATAAGTGGCAAAGCCCGAAAGCGAATAACAGTCGAGTGCCTCGTTATCTCTACGTTTGACGAGAGCGACAAGCGAGTGTGACGTACCTTGACGACGTAACTGTTGACGCGCGTGAAACCGAAGTTCTGGGGCAGGTGCCGAGCACCAAGTACCGTCACCCTTAGATTCTTATCGTTGGGCGAATGAACGATTCGCAAGCCAACTTCCGGCTCCAGAGTACTCGTTGTCCGCTCGAGGGGCGTCGAGACCGTTTTCAGACTCGTGTCTAGAAAACTCTTAATTTTCGCTATCGCCATTATGGATACGCGCGAAGTAGCGCCGGGGCACTGGTGACGAAAGACCCCTTATCGTACTCGTTGCTGCTACTAATGTTGTTGTTGCTACGGCTATTATTGCTAGTGATGCTGCTACTGCTACCGCTACCGCTACCGCTGCTGCTGCTGCTGCTGCTGCTGCTCCTCCTCCTACTGCTACTACTGCTACTACTGCTACTACTGCTACTACTGCAATTAACTGCTACTGCTACAATTAACTGCTATCTGCTACTCATTGGTGCAATCGACATGGGCTACGGGTTGTACAGCCAACTGTGCGTTCGCCTGCAAAGAGATTGAGAATTCGTTACTGTTCGTGGCTCGTAGATTTATTGCAAGGGCCGAGCGAAGGTCAAAGGGGAATACAACTAATTTATTCGAGAAAATCCAAATGCCTCGCTCAACTAATCAAAGCTCGTACACCTATTTACGCTTGGGTGCACGATCCTCTACATCGTTTGTAATAAGTTATGTACGAGGACTCTTGGCAACTGATATATCACGACTATCGGAAAGTCATCCCTCGATTTAGCGTATCGCGCAAATAGTTCGCCCTGCCATCGACTTAAGCATCGGCGATCAAGGGAATATACGAGGCGACTTGCCGAAATACCCTCGAGGCGGATTCAGCCGATCCTTGCAGAACATACAAAATACATTCGGTAACGAGAATCTACCGGGCGTCGTCAATAATGAACGAAAAGCTGCCGAACGCATATTGCGTTACTTAATTACCCCAGATATCTAGTCTTTGTTTTCAATAGCACACCTATACAAGAGCACGTGTATTACAATGTAAGTGCCCTCCATAGATTTATCCATCCTTTTTTCAAACAATTCTAATTAAAAGCACTGACCCCGTTTGTTCGATTGATGATTAACTTTGGTAGTGCGCTTACACCGAAAGTAGAAAATCACTTTAAAACTTTAAACTGTTCTCTCTTTCGCTAAAAGCGTTAATTTCATATTAGCTTAGTAAAGTCTGTTTGATAAAATCTCGATTCACAATTACTTAAATTCGATATTTCATTTTTACGTGTACAGATGAATCATACACCATATCCCTGAATCCATTTTATTAATAAAACACACTAAATGTGTGCTTTATTTCAAATAAAAATGTAATAACTTGGAAAACAAAAATAAAAAGCGTTAAAGCTCTAATCTTTTGTGCAACGGATATATCTTCTACATTTATAAGTTAAATTATTTCACTTTCACCGTATTTCAGAGCTAAGAGTTATAAAATGCAAGGAAAAATCGTGTTGTTTATCATAGAAAAGAGCATTTATTAAACGGCATTGTGCACCAGTTGAGGGAGGGGGAGGGGGGGGGGGAATAAATAAATTCGCTTGCTACACCATACTCATAAGTTCGCTTAACAGATGGTCAAAAGGCCGCAGATGCTGGAACGAGCAAGAAGCTGTACTTGGATATTTTAGCCGTTGTGGTTATTGAATTTCATGAATCTTCGTTTTCGTCGTCATCGTAGTCGTCGTAGTCGTCGTCGTCGTCGTCGTCGTCGTCGTCGTCGTCGTCGTCGTCGTCGTCGTCGTCGTCGTCGTCGTCGTCGTCGTCGTCGTCGTCGTCGTCGTCGTCGTCGTCGTCGTCGTCGTCGTCGTCGTCGTCGTCGTCGTCGTCGTCGTCGTCGTCGTCGTCGTCGTCGTCGTCGTCGTCGTCGTCGTCGTCGTCGTCGTCGTCGTCGTCGTCGTCGTCGTCGTCGTCGTCGTCGTCGTCGTCGTCGTCGTCGTCGTCGTCGTCGTCGTCGTCGTCGTCGTCGTCGTCGTCGTCGTCGTCGTCGTCGTCGTCGTCGTCGTCGTCGTCGTCGTCGTCGTCGTCGTCGTCGTCGTCGTCGTCGTCGTCGTCGTCGTCGTCGTCGTCGTCGTCGTCGTCGTCGTCGTCGTCGTCGTCGTCGTCGTCGTCGTCGTCGTCGTCGTCGTCGTCGTCGTCGTCGTCGTCGTCGTCGTCGTCGTCGTCGTCGTCGTCGTCGTCGTCGTCGTCGTCGTCGTCGTCGTCGTCGTCGTCGTCGTCGTCGTCGTCGTCGTCGTCGTCGTCGTCGTCGTCGTCGTCGTCGTCGTCGTCGTCGTCGTCGTCGTCGTCGTCGTCGTCGTCGTCGTCGTCGTCGTCGTCGTCGTCGTCGTCGTCGTCATCGTCGTCGGCATTTCTGTCTGTACAATTTTATTTTGAGCGTTTTCGAGCAACTTGTTTACCGAACACGATAATTTGCAAAAATCCTAAAGTCACACATACGTTCATTCGCTCGTTCCACCGACAAAAAAATTATTAATTCATTATACAAATTTTATAATACTTATAAGTCTTGCCGTAACAAACTATACGGATAATGTAGAAACTTTCGGCAGGGATGTTTTTTGCTTCCAAACGACGTCACTACCGCGTATTTTATTTACTCTCATTTCAATAGCTTTCGATAAATGCAAGACTACCCTACCCACCCACCCTGTTTTACTAGCACTAAAACATTCTCGACGTAAACGAGCCATTGAGCAATATATTTCGGTAAGATTCGAATTCAATTTTTAAAAGCAATATAATGTCAAGTGCTATTAACGGCAGTACATTGGTCGAAACTTCCGCTTAGCAGAATTTTATTATTGCTTCTGATTGTCAATGAAATCATTGAATGATCTCGATCCCATAAAGGTATACAATAATAGTGGATAAATGCTTTCTCAATCGTAAATCAATAATAAGCTCTTGAAATAAATATAAAATAAGTAATATAAAAATTTTTATCTTACGTGATTTCTTATTTTCTTAAGCAAAGGAAACGTTCAAACGTAGAAATTAATTGTGACAATTACGGCGATAATAATTATGATTATGATAATAATGATAATACTAATAATCATTCAATTTATGATTAGAAATATTAGAGTATTTTTTTCAAATATAAATTTACTGTATTTAACAACTGCAATGGCCATGAAATCAAAGTTGTATCATTTATAGTATAAAAAAAAAAAAATTTATTTCGTAATAACACTTTTCATACCTGCAATATAATCAGTCAATGCGTTTTATGTTCTAACAAATTTATCATTATACCATAATTTCTACAACGTCGTATATACAAAATTATGTAGAATTTGCATCGATACATTAACGATTTCGACTCTGCCTTAATTCTATTAAATTCTAACCACTTTACGAAAAGTCGAAAAATAATGATAAAAGGAATAGAAGATGATTATCCTCGATTCGATTATATTATATAATACAATTGATATAATCTTGATATAATCTTTTTAAATACTGTTATTATATATTATATATTGCTGTTAGAATATTGCTTACAAAAATCTTTTTAGTAACTAAAATTTAGTATTTGTTGTAAAATTATTCTAAATGGACAGTATCTATTAACGCTAACATATAAAATAATATAATATATATAAAACAACGTCGACAATTGTAAAGGAGATGAGAGTAGAAAAATAATTAATATTCTTAAACAATTTTTACAAATTTCATTCAATAAAGTAATATTATTTTTGAAGATCAATTCCTGCTCGCGACAAATTAATGGCATTATACAAATAAATATCGAATAGCCTATCTTATAAAATAAAACATTTTGTCAGTATTTTAACAAAATCATGAAAAATTTACTTCTTTATAAATTTAAAGCCAGTCCTTAACTATTTTATAAATTACCCTTACTACGCTCATTACAATATAATACATAGATTTTCACGTCAACGAGTAATTTATTTATATATATATTTTTAGTCTCATTAACCAAACAACGTGAGTAACACTAAATAACGTAATGTATTCGTTTAATCCGCAATGCCATTTACACGAATACTCCCTCTCTGTCACGATTGATTAAATTGTTAGAAGAAAAAGTGCCGTAAATACATCGATCCACTGTGATGCAAACTTCTAAGTAAAAAGTAAATATCCTTTAAATTGGGCAAGCGACTAACAAAAGGACAAGCGAATATATACAAGTAGAGGGATAATTTATACGAATTTCGGTCTTAATGAAATATTAACGCACTTATTAAACTGATCACGCTTAACACTGTAGTCAATGAAAACAACGAGACGCACTTTCATAATTCAACTGCTAAAGGCACAATCCGCAACGTTTGTCGCGCTCTATATATATATATATGCGCTTATGATTGCAAATTGAATAATTTACTTCGATGTGCTTTAAAGAAGAGTTGCATGTCATGACCTACGGTCGTATAATCGATTCTTTCAACCTGTAAAAACTCGCTTATTTTTGCCTAGTGTATAATAAATAACAAGCATATCAGTGTAGATTTCGAATATTTTAATACTCAACGGGATTCGTTTTTAATTTTCTTATTATTATACTATTTTTGCATTAGCTTAACTATTAATTTTTTTTTTTCTTTTATAAGTAATTTTATGTTTTATATAATATGTCATAGATTGGAAAATTACAAAGCAAACAAAGACAGGTCAATTTTTTATTCCTGTATTGCTGAAATTATCAAATTCTAAGGGTATTGCAGTAAATTTTCAAGAATATTTGACAAAAAACTTTTAAAGCAGACCAAGATAAGTCTTTAATTCGAATAACCTTCGATAGTTTATGATAAAATTATTATTATTATGAATTATTATTAAATGCAAGAATTAACATATTTTTACAATTAATAAACGGTATAATGAAGAAGAGTAATTGTTGTATTTAATTAAATATTACAAATATGGTATGTCTGTTAAGATTCGTATGTAATCGCATTATTGACCATTTGAATACTAACTTAAAGAAAAATATAAAACGAATGGCGATCAGAATGGAAAAAAGAGATCAACAAATCAAAGTAATATTTTTAAAACAAGAAAAGAAGGAAAGTGCGCTGTATTGGATTGAAATAAATTACTGTATAAGATTGATAATAGATTTTTTACTTTTTACTTGAATTAAACTTAGTTCGAACATATTTTCCAACGCATATTCCTTGAAATTATATTTTCAAGATCGATGACAACAATTTACTCGATAATTATTTAATCAATCGATGTGCAACTTTATACTGCCGTTTTATCTTACATTACAATTCATTAAATTAAATTTTTTTTTTTTTTTTTTTTTGAGACATCTATCCAG